ACAGTTAAATTGATGTTTTTTGGAGAAAGCTAGCACAATGAAGAGTGACAGTCCCTACGGAGGCGAGCCAAACCTTAAGAATTGAAAACATCATAAAGGCACAGTTTATTATTTTTCTCGTCTTTGGAGCGTGTAGCAGGCGTAAGACTCATGCGAGGTCAGCTACTAAAGCCGACCTTCTTACCAGTCTGCCGAGAAGTTGATGATGAAATGGATGGTGGAGAGAGCGCGAGATTATGTCATGGTGATTCAGCACATGCCTCGTGATAACACATCTGACATACCTGTGGTTGCGGACTAAAAGGTTGATAGAATAACCCGATTGTTACCAGTACTGAAGGTCAGACTGCAACGATTTCCATGCAATGTGAACGTCATAGCAACTAGCTCCGACGCGAGCGCCCGTCTTGGGGACTGGTTCATGTGGAATTGGGAGGTCGAACATGTTAAGATACTTGTTCAAATCTAAGATAGCCAGCCCATTTGTGACGATCCGCGGCAGCAGATCTGGACTGCTCAACCGATTCTCTTCTCCAGCGGCGGAGACCGAAGATTCAAGAACCACTACTGTGTCTTGACGAACTACATCGAACCAGATTTTGAGCTGACATCCCCTTCTACGGCGCCAAACGAGTAACAGTGTCAGATCGAGGCCAGTAACACTTAGCACATGAGGTGGATGACGAATAACTGGTCCATACAGAACATGTGCAGGATGGGTAGACGATGTTTCAGCATCGTCAGCCACTGTGAGCATGATATTCTCTAGTCACCTTAGCTTTGCTATTCGTAATATAAAAAGTGAAGAGTATACACTCAGAAAAACGTTGAGGCGTTCTGACTATCGAGGGATTCTTGCATTTCATGGATTCGACGGGGGAGGTTAGTGGGTGCATCCATCCACTCCGTCGGAACAACATGTGAGGGTTGTAGGTCTGTGCAAAAAATGGGGCACCGAAAAGGGTAATATATACCATAGGATAATTTGAAAGCAATACAAGTAATACTCAAATCCCGTCTGCCGCGAAAGCCAATCCATAAGGATAGTTTAATGCCATCACCGACCCCTTGCCTACTTTGCTTAACTAACTACTTATTTCGTAGTAGTAAGCATGTTTCTTTATCCAATACAAGCGAACATCCGTGTCCCAGGAAGCAATTAAGAAGAAGAAGACT